GTTGTGATTAAACTGAAATGTGAAAATGAATGAAAATTATCAATTTGTGGAATTACATTTAGATCTGCACTTACAGTAGGTTGCACACATTTCTGTAGAGCTTATGAATGCAATGGCCAACCTGAGGCATTTAGATTAGCCAGTGCTGAAAACGCCGGAGTTTTGTTGAGTGCGTGCAGAAACAAAATGCAGAAACAAGAAGAATGCAGAATTTATTTTGCAGCATCAGTGATTATAATGGGAGTTTTTGCATACGCCGGAGTTTTGTTGAGTGCGTGCTCACAAATTCTCTCATCATAAACAACAAAATGCAGAAACAAGAAGAATGCAGAATTTATTTTGCAGCATCAGTGATTATAATGGGAGTTTTTGCATAACTTGCACTAGACTAGACTAACATCATCGTCCTAGGTGTGAACGGGCTTTTATACTTGCATGACTTGTGTCTGTCACCAAGATAACCGACAAAAAGGACTGCATTACTTTTAGATGACTTTGAAGGAAGTTGGTTGTTGCTAATGGGCTTCCCATGGAGCATGTAAATCTGGGAGACAGTCTTTGTCTCTCGAGTCCCAGCTCAACATGTGCCTGCCGCAAGGAGATTTCAACATGGCCTCAGCATATTTTTAACGGATTTTGCGAGAGATCAGCGTCTCTGTTAAGATTTTGACTTGAGAGGCTTCACGGGTTTTATTCTCGGCAGACAACACATTACATGGCAGAGTGCTTTCTGCACCACATGCTATTCTCAATGGCTGTGTAATGGGATATGCAGTAACATCACACAACTTTGCCATATGTTTTGAGAATAAGAGCTGTGTTTGCTTATCTAATCACTGTTTAATAGAAAATAAAGCAGTAAGCCACAAGAGGTCATGTGTATCAGTAATTATACCAGAGTTAAAAGAATTATGAAACTGATTTGAAATTGAATTATTCATTGAATATAATATATTCAGGTTTTTAATTTAAGTTTCAGTAATTTTGTTATGTGCTTTTATCTTGTTTTATTAGTTTTAGCTTATTAAATACATTTATATATAACTTTTATTTTTTATTTAGCGTTAGTTTTAGTAATTTTTTAGTACTACAAATTACTTTCAGTTTTTTGCCAAGCAACATTTCTGATTTTCATTTAAATTTGATCAAAATTTTCCATCTGATATTTATATTTTATTTTATTTCAGCTTCATTTTCAATGTCCAAAAATTATTGTTAATAGTTTTAACTGTAGGTTTACCTGAGTGTTAAAGCTGTTCTTTTCCCATATAATGAAAACATATTGGTTACGTATGGACAACGTGAGAGTCTGCTGGCCCGAATTCTAGGCATGATTCGTAAATGGAGAGGGCTTAGAGATCCCCCACCCTCTTGATAAAAGCAAGCCCAGTCAGGAAGGCCATCTTCATAGAGAGAGCACTAAATCCAACTGACTGATGGGGCTCAAACGGATCTCTCTGTAAGGCCTGAAGAACTGAGAGATTCCAAGAGGGAATGAGGCATTCCCACCGATCTGCAATCTACAGTGTCGTGGCCACGTACACCTTGAATGTACTGTAGATGCAGTTGGGCACCTGTCCAGGGCCTCTTGGAGGAAGGATAGCACAGAACCGATGCCACATCTTCGAGGATCCTTCCCATAGGAAGAACATCAATTCACGAAAATGTGCCATTTCAGGTCGTATAGCCACCTCGTAGAGGGGGCTCAAGCCTGTGCAATGATATTCAACACTGCGGGTGAAAGACCTCTGAGTTCCTCCTGGTCGCATCCAGGGACCAAACATGGAGGTTCCAGAAATCTGGGCACGGGTGCCAGATTGTGCCCTTCTCCTGGGATAGAAGGTCTCTCCTCAGTGGAATCTGCCAGGGAGGAGCTGATGCCAACAGCACGAGCTCCAAGAACCAAGTCTTGTTGGGCCAGTAATGTGGCACAAACAAGAGTTGTTCCATGTCCTCCCTGACTTTGCACAGTGTTCATGCAAAGAGGCTCACTGGGGAAAACGCATATTCGCATAGGCCTGGGCCAGCTGTGCGCCAGTGTGTCCGTGCCGATGGGGTCTCAGTCAGGGAACCCACAAGGGGCAATGAGTGGATTCTCGTCAGGCCAACAGATCTATTTGCGCCTGACCTAATCGACTCCAAAACAGCTGGACCAGCTGGGTGTGAAGCCTCCACTCTCCCCGGAAAGTGACCTGCTGTGAGAGGGAGACCACTACATGATTGAGGTCACCTGGAATGTGAGTGGTACGCAGAGACCCGAGGCTCTGCTTGCTCCACAGTAAGAGATGGTGGGCGAGGTGTGAGTCTCGGCGCCATGCCCATCTCAGGACTCGGGTATAAAGCCTGTGCTGACGCGGTGTCATATGCATCAGTCCCAATGGTGTAAGTGCGGCTGAGGATGCCATATGCCCCAGGAGCCTCTGAAAGTATTTGAAAGATCACTATCTTGTACTTGAGTGTTCTTAAGAAGCTCAGCACAGACCAAGCACAGTCCTCTAAAAGGCATGCTGTCATAGTGACCAAGTCCAATCCACACCGAAAAAAAGAGAGTTGCTGTTCTCTCAGTTGACACGAAGTCCCAATCAGGGTAGGTGGTCGAAGCCACCTGTATGTGCAAACCAACTCTCACGAGTGAGCTAGAATAAGCCAGTCGTCGAGAATGCGAATGCCCACTTCCTTAAGAGGGTCAAGGGCAGTCTCCACGACTTTCGTGAAGATGCGAGGAGACAGGGATATCCTGAAGGAAAGAACTTTGTGCTAATATGCCTGTCCTTCAAAGGCAGACCAAAGAAACGGCCTGAGTCTTGGAAGGATCGAGACATGAAAGTTTGTGTCCTTCAGGTCTATTGCCACGAACCAATCTTGGTACCCGACACATATTAACATGTGTTTGAGGGTTAGCTTTCTGAACAGGAGCTTTTAAAGGGCCCGGCTCAACTCCCTTAGGTCTAAGATTGGTCTGAGCCCCCCACCCTTCTTGGGTACAATGAAGTAGGGGCTGTAAAACCCCTTCTTCATCTCGACCGGGGAGACAGACTTTATCGCGCCCTTCGCCAGAAGGGACGCAACTTCCGCTTGTAGAACAGCAGCACTCTCACCTCGCACTTAGGTAACAGAATGCCACTGAATTTTGGTGGATGCCTGGCAAACAGAATCGCATAGCTGAGCCGAATGGTTCTGAGGAGCCATCGGGAAGGGCTGGGGAGCTTAACCAAGCATCTAGACACCTTGCCAACAGTCTCAGTGAAACTACATTCAATGTACCCGGGGAAGGGTTTCTGCGGAAATTACAGTGGCAGAGGACATAAGTCCTTCGGGGCGCACGGTGTCCTGTCCACCAGGTCTGTCAAAGAAGTCACTGACAAATGCGGGAGCCACCTTCCTGCAAGTGACTGGTTGCTGTTCAGGCTTGACTGCCGACCCAGGCTGTTGCGGTCCCCGGCGATGAACAGACGGAGGCTGTTTCTTCGGGGGTGCAGGGGTAGAACCTGACCCACGCCGAGGCAGGCCTCCGTTTCTTAACTGTGGAGAATTGCTGTGCAAATTCTTCAACGGTGTCGCCAAGAGACCAACCTGAGAAATGGGGGCATTGAGGAAGCACACTTTCTCAGCATCCCACATCTCTGCCAGGTTGAGCCACAGGTGGTGCTCCTGGACCACTAATGTCGACATCGCCCTCCCCAGAGCCTGCGCCGTGACCTTTATAGCCTGGAGGGCATAGTCAGTCGCCGAACACAGTTCCTGCATGCTCTGGGTTGGGACCGTCCTTGTGCAGACCCTGGCCTGAACACCTGCAGGACAGCCATGGTATGCAGAGCGGACGCACCTTGTCCAGAAGCAGTATAAGCCCTCCGATGGTGCGATAGACAATTCATCCTCATCATGAGCCCCAAATGAGTGATCGAACTCACTCTGAGGGGGGCTCTTAAACTCACTCAGAAACTCTACTGGAGAACATGTGCGGTTGGAGGAACGAGAGCTCCGTAGGAATGCATCCAGCGGAACTGCTCCCGCAACATCTCCTTGCTCTACTTCAGTGCACATCATCATGGCTTCGTACCCGGAAGTAGAAGGGCCAGGACGGGAAGCAGCTGAGATGACTCGCGGCCTTTTTAAAAAGAATGCGAGCCACGAGCACAATGTGCCGATAACCATGTCCTAACAAGAAGGACATAAACCATCCACAAAAGCTGCTTCAGCATGGGTGCGGCCCAAACACTGAGCACAGCGATTGTGCCTGTCAGAGAGTGAGATGTACAAACTGCAACCAGAAGGACATGGATGGAAAAGCATGTTGTAAACACAAACAAATCCATCCATGAAGCTCTTTTAGAGAAATTGCTCTTTTAAGTGGAAATTTGCTCTCAATTATCGCTGTTGAAGCACCCGGGGTACTCTCACTACACTTATCTGTGTATGGGTAAGGGAGAAACCACTGCTTGTGCCATAGATCCAGCGACGAGGATATTCAGAGGTGAATTCAGTGGTGCATCTCCCAGAGAGATGCTGCATTGGGTCAGAAGTAGAATAGAACGAGTGAGCAAATGCCACGCTGGCCTATTTATACCCGGATATCCGGGGTGTAGCCAGCTATGCAAATTTTGCTCACCAATTTCATTGGCCTTTTCTCAATTATGTCAGAGGTGTCTGGGCTCCCAAGTGTGACCCCTAGTGTTGGAACTTCGACACAACATTGAAAGGGAAAGGACACAGCTGAGCCTCAAAAAGTATTTTCAGCTTGTCAAATGAAAGTCTTATGGGAGGAACAAATCAAAATGTAAACAATTCTATGCAACAAATTTCAAATTTACACATTCAAACATGATGTATCCCGTCACCATCAGTCAATTTTGAAATAATTTTCTTCAAACCTGGCAGTGTTTTGAGGAACCATTTTTTTGTGCACAACAGCAAACAATCAGATTTTAGCATTGCCATTTTCTCTTTTATAACATTTTATATTCAATGGTTTATACATCTTCTCTCATTCCTCTCCACAGGCGGCGTCTTCAGCCCTCAGCAGCTTGGGTCACGTGTACACAGCCATCGGCGACTATCCCAACGCCCTGGCCAGCCACAAGCAGTGCGTCCTGTTGGCCAAACAGTCCAAGGATCAGCTCTCTGAGGCTCGGGAGCTGGGCAACATGGGAGCCGTCTACATCGCCATGGGCGACTTCGACAATGCCGTACAGTGCCACGAACAGCACCTGTGCATCGCCAAGAGCCTCGGCAACAAACGCGAGGAGGCGCGTGCCTACAGCAACCTGGGAAGCGCTTACCACTACTGCCGCAACTTCGACAAGGCCATGTCATACCACACGCACGTGCTGGAGCTTGCACAGGAGCTTGAGGAGAAGAGCATCGAAATGAGGGCGTATGCGGGGCTGGGACATGCTGCCCGTTGCATGCAGGACCTGGAGAGGGCGAAGCAGTACCACGAACAACAGCTCAACATCGCAGAAGGCCTGAAGGACCGCGCCGCCGAGGGCAGGGCTTCATCGAACCTGGGTGAGGGTTTGGTTACATTCTTCATAAAGACCGCCAGCTGGAAAAAAAACCATCTTAAACCTGCCCAAGCTGGTGTACTGGGCTTCTGGCCTGGCCAGACTGGTCTGTTAGCTGGTTTTCAGCTACTTTCGGACCAGCTAACCCAGCTGCCCAAGCTAAGAGGAAATAACAATATCAACATTGGTTCAAGCTGCTCTTTGCCAAAAAAGTCGGTCTGTTAGCTGGTTTTGGGCACTTTTCAGCCACTTTTGGACCAACTAAACCAGCTACCCAAGCTGAGAGACCAACTTAAACCAGCTAAGGTCAACACTTCAGTAGCTAGTAGTTAGTACAACTTGTGTGCAAATGAAAGCCTTGTTGGAGGAACAAATCAGTATTTAACTGATTATTCGTTGCAAATTTCAATTTTAAATGTTCAAATATCATCACGATCAATGATGATTTGGTTTGCTGGTCTTCTAGCCTGGTCTGTTAGCTTGTCTTCAGCTACTTTTGGACCAACTAAATCAGCTGCCCAAGCTGAGAGGCCAGTTTAAACAGCTAAGATCATCAGCAAACCAACTAAGACTGGTGATTGGATAGTAATTCATATCATGGAGCTTCAAACAAGGACTATAAAGTAGTTAGTACAACTTGTTTTCTGTATAACAAGTCAAATGAAATGAAATGAAATTTGAACTTATCATTTGTTGCAAATTCCAATTTTAAACATTCAAATATGATGTATCCCATCACGATCAGCAATGATCTGGTTTGCTGGTCTTCTAATCGGTCTGTTCTAATTGGTCTGTTTTTTAGCTACTGTTGGACCAACTAAACCAGATTCCCAAGCTGAAAGACCAGCTAAGATCATTGGAAAACCAGTTTAAACTCGTTTAAGATGGCATTTTTAACAGGAAGTAACGATATGCATCCCATAATGATCAGTGATGATATGGTTTGCTGGTCTTCTATCAAAGTCCTATTACTTAGTACAACTTGTGTGGTGAATAACAAGTCAAAAGAAAGCCTTACTGGAGTAACAAATCAAAGTTTTAAAGGGGTCCTATTATGCTTTTTCACTTTTTTAATTTTAGTCAGTGTGTAGTGTGTATGTTTGGGCATAAAAAAGATCTAGAAAGTTACAAATCTCAAAGTCCACTCCAAAGGGAGATATTTGATTTTTTTTAAATCCCTTTTCAAGAACTACAACGAACGGCTCATTAATCAAGACTTTGTAAAAGAGCATAATAGGACCCCTTTAATAATTATTTGCTGCAAATTTCAATTTTAAACATTAAAATATGATGCATCCCATTATGATCAGTAATGGTCTGGTTTGCACACTGCAAAAAATGGCTTATCTTACTTAGCTTTTTTGTCTTGTTTCTAGTCAAAATATAAAAAAAATTCTTAAATCAAGATACTTTTACTAGATAAGCCAAATGACTTAAGATATTTAGTCTTGTTTCCAGGGGAAAAAAAATTAATTAAGTGCATTTTGCTTAAAACAGGTACAATTATCACAGTGGGGTAAGTAAAATACTCTTGTTTTAAGATAATTTTACTTGTTTTAAGCAAAATGCACTTAATTTAGGTTTTTTTCCCCCCCTGGAAACAAGACTAAATATCTTAAGTCACTTGGCTTATAAGTCATTTGGCTTATATAGTAAAAGTATCTTGATTTAAGAATTTTAATAGAAACAAGACAAAAATACTAAGTAAGATAAGCCATTTTTTGCAGTGCAGGTCTTCTGGTCCACTTGGACTGGTCTGTAAGCTGGTTTTGTCCACTTTTCAGCCACATTTAGATCAACTAAACCAGATGCCCAAAAGCTGAGAGACCAATTTAAACCAGTTAAGATCATCAGATTTTAGACTAGTGATTTTATACTGATTTATATTGTTGAGCTCCAATACAGACTATATAAGTAGTTAGTATAACTTGTGCTCTGTATAACAAGTCATATGAAAGCCTTACTGGAGGAACAAATTGAAATTTAACTGATCATTTGCTGCAAATTTAAGTTTTAAACAATCTCATCACGATCAGGGGTGATCTGGTTTACTGGTCTTCTAGCCTGGTCAGACTGGTTTTCAGCTACATTTGGACCAACAAAACCAGCTGAAGACCAGCTGCTCAAGCTGAGAGACCAGCTTAAACCAGCTAAGATTATCAGGAAAGACTTAGACTGGTTTCAGCAGGAAATATTCCATAGAATGACACTGTACAAATTTAAGTTGTTTTTGCTGAATAAATAATGACTTTTTTTTTTCATTTCTAGGTGAACTATTACTTTAATTAAACATAAAGCTGGCAGAAATTAAAATGCAAAGCCTCCCCAAGAAAATAAATTAATGCCAATACATAATGTTATTAGCTTGAAATATACAGTCATGATTGCTTTTGCGCATCGCATTTGTCTAGTTATTAAAAACAACAGCATGAATGAATATTTATCGTTCTATTTCCAGTTTAGTGGCTTGGTGACTCAGTGATCTAGAACGTGTCCCTTTCTCATGCAGCAGGGTCTGCGGCGGCACTAAAGCATCGGTGTGCGAGACGTACACTGGATAAATTGAAGCCGTCGAAACCAAGTGTTTCAAAGCCCGTCTAATCTCTCACTCTGACTTTTATTGCACCAATCTCACATTCCCTCCCTCCGACAGCGGCTCCATCAATCTGATCCGAAACGCTCGGTGCTCTGAGATTAATAAATAGATGAACTCCCAAAATAAAAATGTTGCCACATGACTGTTAATATCAGGATTACAGTAGAGTGCACTCGAGGAGTGAAAGCAGGTGTTTTGTACTGGATTTGTACATTTTTTAAGAAAATGTGAGTGCAAAATTCTCCAACATGATGCACGGATTGTTTAGCCCATTTTATCTTTCATAACATTCATAACGAGGCTAGGAGTCCTCCGTACTAACGGTACAGTAGAAAGACAGTAAAATTAACATCAGTTTCCTGTTTTTTTTTAAGGAATCGTTTAAGGAATCGTTACCTCAAAAACTGCTTCCAAATTTCTTTTAAGCGCCAAAAGTGATATTGGTTAGCTTCCCAATCCCCACATAATCTCCAACAGCTAGCACCTTTCCCTTTGCATCATATCTGTGTTGACTTAATAAAAAACCTAATAACATTCTTCCAACAAAATTCTCTCCATATGGCTGAGCTTGTAGATTTCCATTGTATCTTACAGATTTTTCCCCAATCATCATCCGAGATATTCAGATTTCACTCCCTCCTCCATTTGTCTTTAACACATAGTTTAACATTATAGGGCACTGCATGGAGAAATCCTTCATATAATTTTGAAATAATCTTACTACATGATTCAGACTTACTTACTGCTAAGAACACTTTTAATATTCCTTTCTCTGCAATTTCTAATACTGGTTTGATATTACAATCAATATAATGTCTTACTTGAAGGTATCTATAAAAATCACTTTGATTAAACCCGTATTTTACCTTTAATTATTCAAAACTTTCAATTGTACCTATACTAAAGAAAGTGTAATAGACTCCCAAACCGAATTACATAAATGATACCTCAAATTATGCAGTCTTTAAATTGCCACCTGTTCTATTTGTGCAAACTTGATACATTGATGAATTTGCCTAGTAGCACGAGGAAGTCCGTAGGGTGATATTTATGTCCTGTGAAGTGCTCATGGAAAAAAATGAAATCAATTTCTTTCCCCTTTTGCGTACGGCCGTGATAAATTTGTATTGGAAGCACGTGCGATCAGGTGAGCTCGTTTAAAATGGGGATATAAATATTACTCGATTACTCCCAGCATCTCTGAGGTTGTTACTCTGCGAACAGGTTTATTGTTCAGAGCTAATGATATAGGAGAGGTTGCACAGATGAGATGCGCTCGTGGTGAGTAATGCATCCTCTGCAGACTCATGCTAAGCTTTAGAAAACGCAGGACCGCCAACATCTCAGCACTCCTTCAATCACCGGCTGGCCTTGCCATCCAGGACAGGGAGCGGCTCGATTTGATCGATCTGAAATATTAATAGCTGGAAGGGCTGAGAGGAAAGTAGCGCTTATAAAATTAACAATCTCGCGCGGTGAGAGACCTGGAAGTGCACAAATTGATCTCAGTGATCTCAAAGGTGAAATCTGAGAAGCCAGCAGATATTTAAATCTAAAGCAGCCATGTTTGATTAAAGGTTTAAGATGTTTACTCCAAGACTGATTGGGCTCAACAAACATGTTTTATTAGCCACTGCTGTTGATATCTATAATATGTACCTAAAAGTCATGTAGTCGATACCAGAGTGCAGCAGTCGTGTTCTCATTCATTTTCTCCATAGAGAAATTGATTTTTAATGGTAAAAGATAAACCTTTCAACTGTTCGTTTATTTGTTTATTTTTTAAATAATTTACTTATTTTTTGTTTATTTTATAATATTTAATATTTATTTTCAACATTTAGACTTTCATATTTTGTAATAAATGTAATATTTAAAATAATGTAACATTTAAATATATACTTATAATCAGTGACTTTAAGTCAATCATTTTACATTATACTGTTTTATTAGATTAGGTAATTCACAATGCATCAGGATTATCATTTCCTCATGTCAGGATTCAAGTGTGCACTCTTGTACCTTTGCCTTTTTATGATTTGCAAATATTTTTGGCATCTAATAAAAGATTTATTAGATTTTCTGAAATTCTGGACAAAATTATTTGGTTAACTAAATAATCAAGGCTACTGAAAAAGTGAGTAGTCATGCATTAAAAAGCCTAATTTTATGATTTGTCTGTAATTTCCATAATTTTTGCCATGCATTATGGTTATAATTTTCTCATGACAGTTTTTAAGTACATCTTGTGCCTTTATTTTTTATCATTTGCAAATATTTTTAGTCTAATATAAATTTGTAAAGTCATTTGACAAATTTTCTAAAATTCTGAAGAAAATGAATTTGAAAAATATGCAATCAAGGCTACTAAAACAAATGTGCATTCAAAAGCCAAATTTTTGTGATTT